TCTTCATCAATTGATTAAGTGTTTGTTGTATTATTAACGCATGCTGATTTAATGATTGAATAAATAAAAAAATATTTTAATAAAAATTGATACGGAGACAAATGAAAATATGATTGCCTTTATTAAGTTAAGCTGCTTATTAAAGTTTGTTTTTAAGTTTAAGGATTTTTTTTTTTTAAATCAGGCTCTAGGAAGTTTCGAGCATCATATTTTAATGTTCAATATTTCTATTATAAATTAAAGGAGTCCATGCGGATGTAAAAAGTTACGACTTTACCAGAAGTAGCTTGTTGAAAGACATTTTACCAACCAATGATCTCGACACGATAGAGGAGCAAACTTTAAAGCAATGTGCCAATTTGTGTGGGGAAGTGGAAACATGTTTACACTATATATGTTTTTCCAGACGTTTTTTTACAAACCGTTCGATGAAAAATGTTTCCTGTACAAATCCGCAATTTTGAATTCCTCAAGTGTCGTTCCGGAATCGGGAGTAAGCATCTACGAAATGAAAGGTACACCCTAAATCGGCTATGGGTCTTTTTTTTTTTTTTTTTTTTTTTTTTTTTATAATTTTCCTTATTTCTGTGATTTCAAACAAATAAAACATAAGAATAAATATATATTTACATACATTAGGTATTATAGGTATTATGAAAAATATCATTTTAAATCATATGATTATGACCTGCAATGTGTATAGTTATTCGGTTCTTTTTCCCATTGTCAATTAGAGCCCCAGGGAACCTTTCCGTGGGAAAAAAATGACGACATGTTTATTCATTGAATCGAAATTAAGCCAAAATGAAATTTTCTTACCCACGAACATTCACCCCCACGAATTGAAATGATTCCTTAGTATAAAATTGGGAGGTTCTGCAAAACCCTTTCAGGACTTTCAGGACTGTCTCTAAAATATGTTAAAAACAATGAAACATATGGAGATAACGAACAGTATTCAAGATCAGAAGTCCTTAAAACAATGCAAAATAGGAGGAGAGCAAACTCAGACCTCCAAAATACCAGAGATGGGATCAGGTGCCATGGAGGAGTGAGAATCCCCGTGTGCTCCTTGTTATAGTCGGGAAATAATGGAAAACCGTCGTCAATTCAGTGTATAAATAATGGACTATGAATTAGTATGAAAAACGTCAGTCAGCATTTGACTCATTGATAAATTGTATTTGCTGACAAGGTCATTGTATCGACCATAGAACTTACGAAATGATGACTTTAAACGAGACTGCTGAAATTCTTGTTTCACCAACTTGTTTGTCAATAACAAAGCCATATGATACATTTAAATAAAATTCTGTGGAATCAATGAATTTAAAGGTGACCCAATTTTTGTGGAATTCATTAATTCGCCAGGCCCTTAAGAATCTCTACAGTATTGCACAGAAGAGCGACAATCTTATTATTTCAAATGCAGAAAATGTTTAATTGCAATCGGACTAATTTTTTCTTAATCTGATATCTGATTCTGATTTTTTGGGATTTATTTCAAAATATATATTTTATCATCTAGTCATGGTGTGAGAATGAAACCAATATCTGTTGACGAAAGCAAACAACAAAGCAAAAGAAAACTTGCACAATACAAAACAAAAAACAAACACATTCGGAAAAAATCAGGGTTTTTTTTTCTTTGTAGGTTGTCCAATTCCAGATTTTACTTTGTTTAGAGAAGGAGGCATTTGCTTTAAAGCATTTACAACAGCGAATACAACATCGGTCTACGCAAATGATATTTGTGCACAGCATGGCGGAGAGCTGATCGTTTTAGATACAGAACAAAAGCTTAGTTACCTTAAGAACTATGTTTTCCAAAATTGTGAGTAAAATAGAAATCTTTGATATGTGAACAATGATACAGCGTTAAACTGACTGAAAGATTACCAGCAGATTAAAAAACATCAAGTAAAAATGATACACTCATAGTAACCTTCAGAAGATTATGTTTTGCTTAACTATAGATTATTTTAGTTAAGGAATGACTCTAATTCTTGGCCATATTATCGAGTATAATCTGGTTTGGGTCAGTTTACGCTTTATAATCCGCGAAGCGGATTATAAAAAAGCGTAAACTGACCCAAACGAGATTATACTCGATAATATGGCCAAGAATTAAAGTCATTCCTTATAATTTAATTTTAAAATAATTAAACAACTTTTGATGTAAAATTGTGTTGCTTTTTATAAGTTCAAATTTACCGCGTAATAATACAACCGTAGTAACGGAAGTGATTTGAAGCGAGGGGAGGTAATAACTGATACATAAATCTTGCAGCCATGATGTTTGTTTACATGAGGTAAGAACGAGTAATTGTTTAAAGTTGAAGGTAAATTTATTAAATCTGGAATTTTCCATGGATTCCGAGGACTGGAAATGAGGGGATTGCATGGATATGATGATTAAGCTGGTCGTCAAGGGGGTGTGTCCTCATACCAAACCAGATTATACAAAATGTTATGCGTTCCTTTTTGGAAATCAACCAATGAGAGGCGAGAATACAAATAAAATTAAATTATTAAACTATAAAAAACTATAAGTTTCTAATTATATCAATTTATGTTTTACTAAAGTAATTAAAACTATGGGTTTCAGATTTTTATATTACATGTATGCTGTCCAGTACATTTAAAGTAAATAGTCATTCATAGTAAATCAAAGTATACCTCAGAGTATTAACTATAGTCAGCTGTAGGTAAATTTATTGAAATATGCTAAATTATGGTAATTTTTTGTGAGGGAATATACATACACATATATCATGACACATTCAACATATTACCCTTTTTACATTTAGTTTAATTATAAATCCACAGGAACTATTCTACCGAATACTACTTTAATTTTGACCTTCATACTGATTTCCGACATCCTACATTGCTTATGATTTATTAGAATACGTACACTAATAATAATAGCAATAGTTTACCATTTCTAACGCAATAAAACAGTGATTAATATCATAACTAACACCTACGCAATTACTTCTCATTTCTTACACTTTAATAAAGTAATTTATCAGTCTTATATACTCTTCAACTGTAACGATTTCTTCTTAAACCTTGTACCATTTGTTTAAATTTTACTACATGTACGAAAGCACTTGTACAATATGATTGATTTCTCAACCCTTAAAATGACTATGATATATTATTTACAATAATTCACATTACATCAGGTAGGGTTTATCATGTTTATCATTATGAATTTTTACAGCCCATATCAAGATTTACTAGTAACTTACTTACACACCTTATGACTGATTCTTCCAAAGTTTGAAATTTTCACACTGTATATTTATGTCTTAAATCATAAAGTAATGTAATGATAATATATTATCCCATGACATGTACTTGCAGTTTATGTGGGAAATGTTGTTTACGCTTTGATCGGCCTTAACAACTCTGGTGGCAACTGGCATTGGGTCAATGGCGCACCCTTGATGTCCAGTACCTTATTCACAAACATGATCAACAATTATGACGCACAGATGCACCCGTGTGGGAGTAGCTACTGTGGTATATTGAGTGTGACTCCTGCCTTCGAATTAAACATACACGACGGCTGCTGTCTCAATACACCATCTCTTTTTCTTTGTTCTACACCCATAGGTTTGTAGCAATGGTATCAAAAGTAGGGAGGGACCAACTACCCCCCCTTCCGTTAATCTAACAAGCAGAAAAGTCAAACCAAAGAGTGAAGGAACCAACTTTCCCATAATTATCTAACAAGCAAAGAAAGGTAAACCAAAGAGTGAAGGAACTAGCTGTTCCATTATAATCTGACAAGCAAAAGGAAAAGTTGACCTAATTAAGTGCCCAGATTTTGGAATCTCCCTGTGATCGACCCTATAGCAACAAAAATTGTGGGTGGGTGGGGGGGGGGGAGTGATCCATGTAGTAGTCCGTGTTGAGAAATAAAGTTAACTTCAAGTAAACAATCATATGTTTTGCTTTCATCCATGTGTATTTCAGAGGCAAATAATTTCAATCTTTGTAAGAGTTTTAGCAAATTCTGGAGATTGTACATAAAGTATGATTTGATATCAGATTAAATATTAAAAACAATTTTAATATAATTGAGATTTAATTTTTTTGTCTTCATGTTTGTCTCATTATAAGCAATCTGCACGCCTTGTTCACCCATCTCCTTAATTTTACATAAAACAATCTAAAAATTGTATCAACAATATAGAAAATCTTGCTTTTTTTAATTTCTCAAGAAAACTTTTGTTTGTATTTTACCCCTGTTTGTCCTTTCATCTTTAAAAGGTATTTTTTCATGGCATCTGATCACTTTTTTTCTAAATTTTTAGGTCTGTGTTTGCTCTACTTCCGATTTGTATTGTTTTCAATGACTTTGAGCTTGAATACATTTGTATTTCTCCATTTATTTCATATACTCCATTTATCATTGTAAGAATGTAAAATATAAAAATATTGCAATAGAGAGTTTACAACTTCTGCTTACCACGCCTGCTTTCACTTTTTAACCATATCAGAACAGAGCGTCACATCTGCTTTGCAGAATGAAAAAGAAGTTTTTTATAACAAATCTGCTTGCATGCATGCAGTGTATGAACTATAGTTTACACGCTCTTATTTTGTAGCCATGCTTCAAAGCAGCTGCAAAAGCATAACATATTAACCTGACTCTAAAGCGTTTCTTTGACCTAGTCCGAGTGTTTCAGGATTCCATAGCGTTGTTGATATCTAAACATTATGTTGAAGGCCACAACAAAGAAACTTTTCACCTTTCATGTAGAAGTTATCGAATAAATTATGCATCATTTGAATACAATTATAATAGATTCAAAAAGTATTTTCATTTAAATTCTTCTTGACGATACGAGGTTTATCTCAAAGTTGTTGATTTTACTTTGAAAACTAGCACAAATTGTCATTTTGACAATGAAAATAATATTTTTAAAAAATATATATAATATTTTATTCAATAGATTACTTTGAATTTCAAAGTTGTCATAAAATGTAATATCCAAGAAATGCAATTAGTGAACGATCTTAAACAGGTTTTGCAACAAAAATAAGATTAATCGAGAAGTGTTACTAAAACATAACACTTTTCGTCTGTTAATACAAACTTCATCAGAACCATAATAAGAATTTCCAAAATCTATATTCAACAGGTTGCCAAGACTTCGTTGTATTAGCAAGATTGTCGTAATTTAAGTGTAGATATCCTAGTTTAGAATAAAGAAATGAACAATGCTTGTCAATAGTTTGTATAACATGACGAGGTATTGTTGATATCCACCGGTAAGCATTAACCACCGAATTTCCCCTGTTCGTACAATAAGCACACAATTTAACGGGTCCCTTCATAATCCGTGTGACATAGTCCTTTACACTTTTAGTATAGTTAATCTTTAAGAAATTATATATATTTTGCACTATGGTTAATGGATTTTGGCACAGATTTTCATAGATAACGCTCATTATTCTGTCTTTATGGCAGTATTGCACCTCCTCTAGTGCTGACAAATCTAGTACAATACGACCACACAAATCCTTTGCAGACACCGAAAGATTAGCTTCATTGAGCAGATTTGTAAACTGCGAATGCAATGTACCTCGTGGATCGCGTACAAGATGAACAATTTTCAGTGTTGGAAGCCATTCCAATAGTTTTCCCGCCATGACTAAAGACAGTCTTATTGTTTTTATCGTCCGTGTCCCAGCTCTAAGGCATCGGTCACGTAACATCCATAAACAGTCCCGTACAAGTTCAAGTTTACTTAGTGTGGTGTTCTTTGGATTGATGCATCTGTAATAATTTCCCAGTTCTGGGGTAAGACCTTCGATGAAATAACTAGTTAATATCGTCATGTCAATGTGTTCAAAATTGCAAGTAAACCAGCTGTAAAGTAATTCTGCATGGACGTTTTCAAGTTCATTCTTTGAAATCATTCTGGAAAGTAAAGAAAATGAAGTTTAAAAGTTTAAAATCAAATTCTTAGATATTCACAAGTTCATATTTACTGCTACATTGATAAAATGTCCTTTTGAGGCATTCTCACTGATATCGTAATAAAACATTTGTTAATGTTCATTATAAAAAGGCTTTGAATGACACTTCTCCAATAAATAAAAATGCTTTAACAGTAAATAACGGTACAAAGATGCAGAGAGAGAGAGAGAGTATTAGGTGTAAATCATCTTGATTCTGACATTTTCTTAAAATGTTCATAGCTACAACCAACTATTCACCGTTCTGTTCCGTTTACAAACTGTATTGCAGATTTTCGATTCACAGCTTGTGATATGCCATGTAATGGTTCGAACATGTAGAAGTCGCCTTCAATGTGGCGGACCAGATCAGCTGTAAGAGTGGATCCGCTCCTCATGTATGCCACTATCAGTCGCATCGGCGTTTTGATGATTTGATTGTCTGCATATAAATATATTTATTTAATTTTTTATATCTGTCGCAGAATAGGAGATTTGGAAATGTAAGTCAATGTATAACAAGATTATTTTTGACGTAGGGCATTAATGTTAAGTTTAAGACAAGAATTAAGAAAAAAAGAGTCCAAGCCATAGCGGTAGATTTCAGTAGCTGTAAGTTTTCACTACTAGTATTTTAATTTAAATCAATTTGAACGAATTGATATGTATCTTTTAAAGAATGGCTGCTTGTAATTATGATAGAAAAATACCATTACCTGACGGATACACCCGCTTTGTTTCTGGTGGACAGTTTATAGGGACAATTCTTAAGCTCTTGATAAAGGTGAGTAGGTTACTTTCTGCAAAATGATATGAACTCCCATGAAATGTCAAGATAAGAAATGTGATCTACAAAAATATCATTTCATAAATGTGTGAAACGGAATGGAAAAACTATTTCATTCGATAAATTGAAAATAATTAGATAGCTTGCTATACATAAGAAAGCCCTGGAAAAAGCAATAAAATTATAACAATACAATGCAGAAAACTAAGAGATAGGGGTTGATGGTAGAAGCTTGGCTTGATTCTACCCCAGATCTGTCGATTTTTCTATGGACTCCTGACTAACATTTGGTTAACGTCTGCATGTCGTGAAGGGGATAAAATACACAGTCACGTAAAAACCAATACACTGTTTATGAAGATTTATCGTTCTTTTAACTGACAATTGACTCAAAGATAGCCGAGTTCTAGAGTCTGTTGACAAATAAAAAGTCATCTAACTTTAATAAGAAGCGCACAATCTTTACTTATATTCCTCAAAACTCTTAACATTACTACTGCTTGAAAACTGGCAAAACAGTACTACGTAGAACAACTTGACGTCACAATAAACATTGTGTTTTGTCTGAGTGTTTGTTGAACGTCCATTTGAGAATTTTCACTCACATATCGGTAGTAGGTCAAACTCCAAGGTCAAATTCAAAAAGTCAAAATTGTTGGTAATCAAAGGAAGGTCTTGTCACAAGGATATCATAGCACCAACTTTTCAAAAGTTAATGCCAATTTAAAATTTGATAAATTATTGCGAAAGTGGTCAAACTCCAATGTCAAGGTCAAGAGGTCAAATATGTTGATATCTTCAGATTCCCAGTTTTTGTATAAAACCAATACATCATATACCAAATTGAAAGAGTGTAAAGTTTCTACTACAGATATATTGGATAATTCCTTTTCTGATCCAATGTCTTCGGTTTCAAAATGTTCTGTGCGAAACTGTAAAACCTGTGACATTTTGATAACTGACACTTCTTTCACCAGTAATCTTACTGGACAGAGCTTCTATACCAAAACTTGGGAAAATCTGAACTGCAAATCTTCTAATGTTGTCTACGGAATAGAATGTAATCTGTGTGGACTTATCTATGTCGGCGAAACCAAGGGATCGCTTAACAAAAGAATATCAGGTCATCGATTTCAAATAAATCATGGTGGTCAGCAGCTTTTATATAAACATTTTAATTCACCTGATCATTCTATTTTATCAATGAAAGTTAGAATTCTCGAAAAGATTTATCACCACACAAATAGTCCGTCGTTGAGTACACCTTTCCGTAGACAACGAGAAGAATTTTGGATTAGGAAACTAGGGACAGCCTTTCCCTATGGATGTAATGACAATGTCGATAGTGTTGGAAATCTTTCAAGCCCGCAGTGTAATAATGTAAATGCGATGGGACTTTTTAACAATACTCAGAGACGTAAGCGTAGTCATGGACATCGTTCGTACCATAAACCTGCAATACACGACGTCTCTTTTGATTCATTACTACCTTATGTAAATCAACAGTTAGGTCTACATCATATTCGAACAAAACTTTACTCTGTCCCTTTGAAACTTATAAATAGTCTTCTTGAAAAGGCCAAGGAACATCCAATTTTAGATTCCTCGTCACCTGAATATAGGCTCGGATCCATGGTTATGGATATTGCATATCATAGGCTTTCTAAACCCGCACGTTTCACGGAAGAAAATGCAGCTAAAACAATCCGTCTTTTCCTTAAACTTCAATATGCCAATAAAGAAATTGACGCGGTTAATATAAGTAATATTCTTAATCACAAAAGGGTCCAGTCTTGTATTCCACCATATTTCAAGTTAAAGACTACACCATGTATTTCCTACAAATATACATCGACCATTGCTTCCAAACTTTTCAATTACAAAAACACTTTACATGGCCTGGATATCGACTATCTGAAAAATAATCCCCCTTCGTGTTCATGTTTTTCTTCGCCCTATAAGTATAGTCCTTCTGGACACGTTATTACAGGTGACGTAAATATAGTTCGTAATGAGAACCTTAGATCACTTATTTTAAAAGGTCCTAAATATAGGGAACCCCGCTCCTTCAACTGGGGTCGGAATTTCATAAATATTATGGATTCTGTTGAAAATTACGCCAGACGATGGGCCAGATATAAAAAAGAAGACATTGACACCTTGTCAGAATGGATTAAATGTATCAGATCCATGTTAAATTCACGTATCAAAAGATTGAGGGGCAAAATGAAAACCATCTATCCTTCTGTGTTCAATAAACCAGAAGTGAAAAAAGAATTAGATAGATTACACGATCAGTACGTACTGGTTCCTGCCGACAAAGCAGGTAACAACATTGTCTTCGTTTGTAAGGCTCATTATATAAATTGCATTCTAGAAGAACTTGGATTTAATTCTACAAGTGGTAATCCTACTTATACTCATACTTCTCTTTCTAAGGAAGAAATTCTTTAAAATCACCTGTCAGTTTTGAATACTTTTAATATTCCACAGAGCCAAAATGAATTTGAACTACCTTATATATATTGGATTCCGAAACTTCATAAGAATTTTTACAAACAAAGACACATTGCAGGTTCCAGTAAATGTTCAACCAAGCCTCTTTCGTTACTTCTCACTAAAATATTGACAGTAGTGAAGGAAAAACTTCAAGAGTACTGTGCAACTATATATTCAAGAAGTGGTGTAAATCAGATGTGGATACTTAAAAATTCTAAAGAACTTTTGGACAATTTGAATTCACAAGACTTTACAAAAATCAACAGCTTAAAAACTTACGACTTTTCAACTTTATACACAACGATTCCCCACGACAAATTAAAATCCAGGCTTTTTGATATCATTGACAGCTCCTTTTTCAACAAAAATGGAACTCGTAAATTTACTTACCTCGTCATTGGTCATTTGAAAAATTATTTTGTTAAAACAGATTCTGATTGTACACATAAGTACTCTGAAGTTGACATCAAGAAGATGCTTGAGTTTCTGATTGACAATATCTATGTGGTTTTTGGAGACCAGGTATTCCAACAATCTATTGGAATTCCCATGGGTACAAATTGCGCTCCGTTATTAGCAGACTTATTTTTATATTCATATGAAGCAGAATTTATGCAAAATCTTATGCGTGAAAAGAAGAAAACACTTGTTGTGGCCTTCAACTCGACATTTAGATATATCGACGACGCATTGTCAATTAATAATGATAATTTCCATTCCTTCGTCGATACGATATATCCTGGTGAGCTTGAGATAAAAGATACCACAGAGTCCGACACTTCTGCTTCATACTTGAATATTTTACTTGAAAAAGACACTAATGGTAATCTAACAGCCAAGCTATATGATAAACGTGATGACTTTAACTTTTCTATGGTCAACTTCCCTTACTTATGCAGCAATATACCTTCATCACCTGCATATGGAGTATATATATCTCAGTTGATTCGATACGCAAGAGCGTGCTCTACGTATGAACAATTTCTTAAACGAGGTAAATTATTGACAAGCAAGTTGATGAAACAAGAATATCAACAGTCTCGTTTAAAGTCATCATTTCGTAAATTCTATGGTCGATACAATGACCATGTCAGCAAATACAATTTATCATTGAGTCAAATGCTGACTGACGTTTTTCATACCAATTGTTAGTCCATTATTTATACACTGAATTGACGACGGATTTTTTCCGTTATTTTCTGATCATGACAACGAGCACACGGCGGGTGTGACCGGTCGGCAGGGGATGCTCACTCCTCCATGGCACCTGATCCCACCTCTGATGTTTCGGAGGTCTGTGTTTGCTCTGCTCTTATTTTGTATATTGTTTAATGGACGTTGAGATTGAATACTGTTCGTTATCTCCATATCCTTCTTCAATACTCTCAAAGTTCACTAGATCTCCATTTAAAAATATTGCATCACTTACAAATAAAATTGAAGTACTGGTGCTTTATTAAGAAGTATCATTGTTTTTAATTTATTGAAGAAAAGACCTCTACGATTTCAATGGATTTCATGTAAATACAATTTATTTCTGGTCACAGGTATCGGAAGGGGAGTAATTAGCTGTGATAGATCTCTTCGAGGTTTAGGAGAAAGGTTGATTATATCATACGAGTAGAGGTCAATATAAGCACTAAAAGACCTCTTTAAAGTAAGTATTTAAAGTTCCCTTTTCTTGCATGTTTGACAAAACTTTTTGTGCTGTACATGTTCTGGTATCACGTTTTTTCATTCATACACTTTTTATGGAAGAGGGGGCTTTCCTATCGTTATTTTTAGATTATTTCATTTGAAAAACATATTTTAAAATTGATGTGACTCTGTATAAATAGATTCTGTGATATTGGCTGGGCATTTTTTCGTAACACGCTTATGATACTAGTATATCGTATGAAAATTTCCCCTCGCCTCTCAAGATATTTGAAATATACAATCTTTGTGCATCATCTCAAACATAGTGTAAATCGATTGGGAATATTCGATATATGCATGCCTTTTTCGTGACCATCTACATTTATATTGGTATAATATTCATTTTTGCAAACACTTATTAGCTTCCGAATAACATATTTTTGATATATGTTAGGGGAAAATGAGCATACCCAGATATTCTCGTTGGACATTTGATCTGTATCACAGACAATAAAATCTTACAAAGTAAGTTTTTCGATATCTGATCAAATGTGGTGTGCTCTTTTTCATAAATATTTTAAACATTCGTATTGCAAAAAATGAATCACAACTTTTATTTAAGTACTTTTGATAGTTAATACTCTCGTATGTATTCTATGAAATTCTATAGCAACATATAAGTTATGAAATTATACAGACTGAGAAAATATTTAACATAAAATTTGTTTCTTAGCCCCCTTAATACTGATATAAAAAGTAGATGTAAGCTTTCAAATATTTGATGTCTTAGATCTTCCTTTGTAAATATCAAGGAGAATAACTACGATATTGTACTAAAAAACACTGTGCGTGAGAGTGCTTGAATATTTTATCTATTGATACCATAGGACATATTCCAGTCGGTAAATATAGCCCTTTGCTGAAAAATCATATCGTTAAAATTTCTATATTTATGTTCCTTTGTTATTATTACAAGACTAAAGCCAAGTCAACTGAGCTAGATTTTTGATGGATTAAAAGAAAATAACACAAACAAGCTATTTTGTAACGTAGGACCTAGCAGCACCTTTTATTCAGAAACTTTTGAAAAGAATAATTGACTCTATAACATAACGACCAGTGTTCACATATTGAATATGTGAACACTGGTCGTTATGTTATAGAGAATCCTTTCTTTAAAAACGTAAACGCACTACATTGTCATGAATATGCAAGGAAAATGTCAAACGCTGGCATGACATAGCATTTTAGAAGAAAACACACATTAAGTATAGAAATCAATTTGATCTCTCAAGACTGAGGAAATTTATAATATTTCATTTCCAGTGTTTCATTTCCAAATATATATTAACCAGAAAAATTAAATAAATAAATAATTGAATCCCTTTTCTTCACCAAAATAGAATACTTTTACCCCCAATTAAAAAGCTTTATTTTTTAAAATGCATATCTAATTCAGATTTTTTGTATGTCAGGAGATATTGCACATTCTCAGAATACAAATACATTGTATATTTATTTTCAAATTTTGTAATTCGTTTTATTGCAAAAAGCACGCTTCGGAGAGATAAATCTCAGCATGGAAATCATCACTTTACCCTTTGAAAGGTGTACCTTTGTGACTAACTCAAACGTATTGCAGAGATTGGTCTGAATGGTTAATGTCAGTAACATATGGGCATCACACATTATGTTCCTCAAACAAAGTTAATGAACAGGGCGTTGTAATTAGGTTTCTTTTCTTCTAATGCCATTGATAGGTAGGTAGGTCACACTGTGATCGGAAGGCCGTGCGAACAAGGCCCGGTCTTAAAAAACCCAAGTCAATAAAAATTGATAGTAAATTTTCATTTGTCAAGCGATTGATACTATATCCATAGTATCAATAGTAATTAATACTCAATATAATTATCAATATTATTTATGACAATTTATAAATTTTTCCGTTCTTTTTATTTCATTTGTTATTATTTATGTACGTACATATTGTTCTCCTGTAAATTATCTACTTCTGTACTGTTACTTATTGTATTATATTGTATATACTGATAAGTTGTAAAGCTTAAAGTAACAAGAAGAAGAAGAAGAATGTGATGTAATGTGTTATGTTTATACATTTGTATTTAACTAAATGAAAAAAAATGACGTGTATCTATTTAAAACAATAACATTCAATATTGATTATTCTTGATGATAGTTGAAATGCATTGATAAAAGTTATATTTTGTGTTATAAAGATGTATAGCATAAGAAACACGGTGTGTTTGATTTAATACTTAAAAGTTCACATTTCCGATTTCAAAGTAGATAAAAAGTAATATCTGTTTTTAAACAGTGTTCAATTAGCAAAATTTTATATTATACATGTATATATTCTCCAAGAAACTTGCGATTGTAGTAGCAGTAGAAAATTCGAAAGTTTTTTAGTAGATTAATGAATGGTTTGTGTTTCAAAGATTGAATGTGTTGTAAAACTAAATGTAGTAATGGCTCACTCAGGGTCAACACAATGTTAAACTGCTTTTGAAAGTGATGAAAAAAAAGTCATTTTTGTTATGAGGTGTCATTTCATGAAAACATTCAAATAAAGAAAATTTTCAATCAGCAATAGTTTAGCACTTAAAAGGAAAATTGATATGCTTTAAAATGAAATGAAGTATTAATATATCTAGTTTCATGTTCTCTCAGAGTAATAACAGAAACGGACTGTATTGATATTATTAAGCTAAATTCTGTTAAAAAAAAATCCAACAATTGACATTTAAAAGCAGAAAAAAGAGTAATCATTCCTACATCAAAGATTATATAATGCTTTGATTTTTTGAGTTGTTATAAAGTTGATTATATAGAATGGGTCTCTTTATATTTACTCAAATTCCTTATTTGCGAAATGTAAAGTTTAAACAACCCAATTCCGTCATGTTAGACGAGCTCTTTTGTACTGCACATGACCTGACATCACGTTTTTTCATTCAATAACTTTTAAAATAGAATTTGGGGCCTTTTTTAATATTTACGAAGAAACAGAATTTTGTGCGAAATACGTTGTTAATCTACAAAAATGGTAAAAAAAAAAAAAAAAAGGAAAAATGCACTTACATAAAAACATGCTTTTAGCATATGAAAATGATAAAAGTATAAAATATTTTGTTATATAGATGACATAACCTTAACATTTTTTTTTTGTTTCTTTTAATACTACAGAGTTATTTTAAAAAGTGAAAAGACAATATAATGTTGCCTGTGCTAACTTTACTACGAAGGCTTAGGGTTAAAGTACCAAATTCTTACTCTACTAGTCTGAGTGGCTGAGTGGATATGAAGATTTTATGTATTAGTATTTGGCTAGCGGGAACACTACACTTGTATTAATTTCAGATATAATATTTATCTAAAATTACGAATAATCTTTAAGATTTGTTCACAAAAATATCTTCGATCTGACAATTTACACACAAGTACATATACATCGTGTTTCAGAGAATTTTATTTTACAATTGTACTTTTCATTTTGGCTGAAAATTGTAACTCTGAAGAAAAGCTCCTTTATTCCATCAATTATTTATGTATTAATGTTTGCCTATAACCCATATCATTTATGTTAAAAATAATGTAGTCATATTCAGTGTTTCTCTCTTAACTTGTTTTTGTTTTGGAGTATCAAATACACATTAAATAAGAAGAAAATAACGGAAACTTTTATCTCATGTAGACTTTACATGCAGATTAAACACACAGTCTAATCATATTTGAAGTATTAATGACGTTTAATGTTCAGCAAGTTTCACCCTGTAAAATTTCATATTTTGTCAAATATAAAGAAACAGTAGATATAATTAAATGTAAAAATAAAATGAAATAATGTTCTGCATAACTTGACATACCTGTAAGAATCGAGTAAATATGAAAGAACGAAATGAGTCCAAGGAACACAACCAGATACCAAACTTTCGAGAAAAAACTTCTTGCTGGCCACATGTCCACAACTGCCTCCACATATCTGTACTCAAGAAAAGTTTAATTTATCTTTTTGTACATTGGCTTCTGAATGATTCTAATCTAGGAACTGTCGATAAAATAGAAATTATTGAAACGTGTGTTCGAAAAAAAGATCACCTCTGCATAAGACTTGAATAAATAAAGGAATTAAAACTATGATTTATGTTTAAAATGATTTTATTGTTGAAATTCAATTAGTCCAAAATTTACAGGTAAACCCGTAGGTAAGCAAGTTTTAAAACTACTCACTTATTCAGTAAAAGTCTTTTATTTAATAGGCTATTTCTCCCTAAGAACAATATCTTAGTAGACTCGACTGTCATAAAAAGAATTTTACCAAGTTCGAATTTCCAAAGAGTGTATATTATATGTGTTCAGTGAAACAGACTTGAATTGGACTTCTATTTGACAAAATGAATACTGAAGAAAAAAAATTCTGGATAATTTTTTTTCAGTATTGGCGTTATAAGTTCGGTTTATTTCCTCCTTTGCCGCTTTTGCAATTAGAGCAAAATATTGGAATTTTGTTTTTGATGAACCTATATCAAACATTCAGTAGACTGACCAGAAGGCCTTTGCCGCACCATTCCTTTAATATTCGAGCAAGGATGTTTGAAAATGAATTAAACGGAATATTTGTTTGTAAGGATGTGTATGGTAGTTTGATATCAAGAACGTTTGAGTTCTGGATCTTATGTGGAGAGAACTTTCGATCTTTTAACGAACTTGCTGAAGAAGTTTCGCAGAGGGTTCCAGATAAGCTATTTGGTATAGATAATTTATCCTTGTCAAACAGAGTTTCAATGACCTTAGTATGGCTCAGACAATACCCCACTTACAGTGTGCTCTCTGTATCATTTGGTGTAAGTCTCACAACTGTGGGTAGAATTCTTAATAGTATTGGGTCTTGTTGTGGGAAATTGTCCACCCCGTGATTTCTTGGCCATCTCTACGAAAGTGGAGGAGTTTTCGAGGGAATTGGCCACAAATGCTCAATGTTGTTGGTTGTATAGATGGTACTTCTCATGAGATTCTGCAACCAATTACCGAAAATCAGGCTGAATTCTACAGTGGTCACAGAAAGTACCATTGCATCTACACTCAGGTATTAAATAGAAGTAAATAATATTATTGTTAGTACCCTATCATAAGCTGTAAATTTCCAAGTTACTATAAATTGCACTGCAAGAATCAGTAAACATTCTCATCCTTAAATCCCTTGAAAACTAAGAATTATGGGTGCCCGTGGACTGCAGAACGAAATGAAACAAAATCTAACGAAAACTAGGAGACTAATTGTTCACATAACAATAAGAGGTCTTCTTTCCACCATCATTTAATTTTTATTTCATTTAATATTTATTTTATTAAAATCAAATTTCATTAAAAGAAACCAGGAATGGCTTTAAAAAATGAAAATTTTTAAAAATTTTGAAGTGACCTTGACCTTTGACCTTCAAGTAATATTCAAGGTCAAAGTTCACATTGCTATGCCTGTATGACTTATAATTTTAAAGTTATAATGTTTAATGGTTAGCACAAAAGCATTAAAGGGCAGTAACTCATTCAGGGAGTTATCAGATCGTTACGCACTGGAACATACAAGTTTTCCCAAAGTCCCTTAAGACATAAGTGAAGGTTTCATGTTTCTGCACTTTACGGTATCGGAGAAGTAGTAATAACAAGGTTTTTCGCACAAAGGGTGATTTTAACTTTTAATAGGGTCAATTTTAAGGAACAGGAATAAAATAGGTTTAAGAGTACATATTAAAGATGCAAAGACATATTATATACGTTAAAAGACAAAAATGATATAATAAAAAGAGCTTAATTTTTCATTTTTGGAATGACCTTGACCTTTGACCTTCACATTAATTTTAAAGTCAAAGGTCAATGAATCTTACGCAGTTGGTCCCATGTGTCTACGACTTCTCGTTTTGAAAATTTTTAATTATTTGTAAAATTCAAAAACTTACAGGGGCAATAACTCATAGAAAGGGTCACAGAATACTTTCGCAATGAATAGCTTCCAGAGTTCTCTCAAGTAGTCGGAGACATTATTGAAGGTTTCATACCTCTACGGTTTATGGTTTCAGAGGAGTAGCGATAACAAGGTTTTTCGCACAAGGGGCGATAACTTTTAATAAGGTCAATCTTAAGGGACAAGTATGAAATCTTTGAAATAGTTTTAAGAGTACATATTAAAGATGCAAAGATAAATTGTATATATTAAAAGACAAAAAAGATATAAAAAGAGTTTAATTTCTGGTCCTATGTGTCTACAATTTCTTATTTTGAAAATTTTTAATTATTTGTAAAATTCAAAAAGTTTTAGGGGCAACAACTCATTAAAGGGATCATCAAATACTTTCGCAATGAATAGATTCCAGAGTCCCCTCAAGTAGTCGCAGACATAGTGAAGGTTTTAAACCTCTGCGGTTTACTGTTTCGGAGGAGTAGCGATAACAAGCATCTCTTGCAAAAGGGACAATAACTTCGAAAGGGGTCATAGTTCATAGGCGTTGGGTCAAATTTGTTCATAACTTTAAATGACCTTTACGATGAACAAAAAGTCTTTTCGATAAATGTTTACACAAAAAATCAGCGGAAGAAAAATAATAAGTGGAATAATAAGAAACAGAAGAAAACCAGTAATTTTTCCACAGAAAGGTTGGAAAGACCTTATTAACAGCAATGAACGCAATGAACAACTCATACGATTTGCGATTGTGCTGACCCGGGTGAAGGTGGGTCGAAGGGGGTGGGGCACTTAAAGAACGGCGAGAGGGAATAGAAAATTATCGTATAAATGAAACCAGAAGTCTCTGTCGAGACTGAAGCTCTACTGGTTTGTACTTATAACAAAGGATGAGTAAAAAGGAGCCATTGCCATCAGACCAAAACTTTAGAAGGAGTAGCGTTTTAAAGGAATTTCACAGACATTTCTATTTTTAGTAACAATGGCAACACCATTCATCGAAATCAAAAAACTGATGCACTAATTTATGTATCTTTGTGTAGTCTACTTGTGTGCCAAGGTATATTGTAACCAGACCAAAATTGTAGGAGGAGTAGCATTTTAAAGGAATTTCACAGAAAATTCTATTTTTAGTAACCACGGCAACACCATTCATCGAAATCAAAAACCGATGCACTATTTCATGTATCTTAGTGTAGTCTACTTGTGTGCCAAGTAATATTGAAATCAGACCAAAAATGAAGAAGGAGTAGTGTTTTAAAGCAATTTCACAGAAAATTCTATTTTTAGTAACCATGGCAACATCGTTCTCGAAATCAAAAACCGATGCACTATTTCATGTTTCTTAGTGTAGTCTACTTGTGTGCCAAGAAATATTGAAATCAGACCAAAAATGAAGGAGTAGCGTTTTAAAGGAATTTCACAGAAAATTCTATTTTTATTAACCACGGCAACATCGTTCATCGAAATCAAAAACCGATGCACTATTTCATGTATCTTAGTGTAGTCTACTTGAGTGCCAAGTAATATTGAAATCAGACCAAAAATGAAGAAGGAGTAGTGTTTTAAAGGAATTTCACAGAAAATTCTATTTTTAGTAACCATGGCAACATCGTTCTCGAAATCAAAAACCGATGCACTATTTCATGTATCTTAGTGTAGTCTACTTGTGTGCCAAGTAATATTGAAATCAGACCAAAAATGAAGAAGTAGTAGCGTTTTAAAGGAATTTCACAGAAAATTCTATTTTTATTAACCACGGCAACATCGTTCATCGAAATCAAAAACCGATGCACTATTTCATGTATCTTAGTGTAGTCTACTTGAGTGCCAAGTATATTGAAATCAGACCAAAAATGTAGAAGGAGTAGCTTTTTAAAGGAATTTCACAGAAAATTCTATATTTAGTAACCAAGGCAGCACCCTTCATCGAAATCAAAAACCGATGCACTATTTCATGTTTCTTAGTGTAGTCTACTTGTGTGCCAAGAAATATTGAAATCAGACCAAAAATGAAGGAGTAGCGTTTTAAAGGAATTTCACAGAAAATTCTATTTTTATTAACCACGGCAACATCGTTCATCGAAATCAAAAACCGATGCACTATTTCATGTATCTTAGTGTAGTCTACTTGAGTGCCAAGTAATATTGAAATCAGACCAAAAATGAAGAAGGAGTAGTGTTTTAAAGGAATTTCACAGAAAATTCTATTTTTAGTAACCATGGCAACATCGTTCTCGAAATCAAAAACCGATGCACTATTTCATGTATCTTAGTGTAGTCTACTTGTGTGCCAAGTAATATTGAAATCAGACCAAAAATGAAGAAGAAGTAGCGTTTTAAAGGAATTTCACAGAAAATTCTATTTTTAGTAACCATGGCAACATCGTTCATCGAAATCAAAAACTGATGGACAATTTCATGTATCTTAGTGTAGTCTACTTGTGTGCCAAGTTATATTGAAATCAGACCAAAAATGTAGAAGGAGTAGCTTTTTAAAGGAATTTCACAGAAAATTCTATTTTTAGTAACCAAGGCAGCACCGTTCATCGAAATCAAAAACCAATGCACTATTTTATGTATGTTAGTGTAGTCTACTTGTGTGCCAAGTTATACTGAAATCAGATCAAAACTGTAGGAGGAGTAGCATTTTAAAGGAATTTCACAGAAAATTCTATTTTTAATAACCATGGCAACACCGTTTATCGAAATCAAAAATCGATGCACTATTCTATGTATCTTAGTGTAGTCTACTTGTGTGCCAAATTATATTGAAATCAGACCAAAACTGTAGGAGGAGTAGCGTTTTGAAAAATTGTTTACAGACAGACAGACAGACAGACGGACGGACGCCGGACGCATTACTATCGCATAAGCTCTTCTGGTCTCTGACCAGTAGAGCTAAAAAAAAACCCAAAAGCTTTTTGAGATATCGCTCAGAAATGAATGTTTACATACACACGTACAGAATGAATGAAATTATGACCTTTGACATTCTGACCTAAAAATCAAAAGGGGTCTTCCTTAAGGTCAAGATCTAGTAAATGAAAGGTGCCTACATATTTAT